TCCGAGAGACGGGCTCAGCTTTCTGGGACCTTACAGTTTGTAGATAGTATGAAGTTGGTGAAATGGGCGCAGATATGTCAGTCTAACACTGTATGCTAGATAGGGGGGTGATGGCCTAGTGGTATTATCACTGGACTGTTAATCCAGAGACCCAGATAGTGTCCTGGGGACTTGGGTTCGAATCCAAGATGGTGGAATTTGAATTTAATAAAAATATCTGGAATTAAGAGTCTAATGATGACTGTGAATCCATTGCCGATTGTTGGAAAAAGCCCACCAGGTTCACTAATCCCTTTTAGGGAAGGAAACTACCATCCTTACCTGGTCTGGCCTACATTTGACTCCAGACCCACAGCAATGTGGTTGACTCTTAACTGCCTTCTGGGCAATTAGGGATGGACAATAAATACTGACCTGGCCAGCGATACCCTCATCATGTGAATGAATTTAGAAAAAAGATAGCTGAGAGAGTGCGAGAGGAGCAAGGGGTTTATTGCAAATCCCCAGTTAGGATCGGAGAGAGCCCTCCCTCTGGATCCTAAGGACCAAGAGATGAGAAGTGAGCTCAAATACCTCTGAGAAGGTGCGGGGTGGAATTTACTGGAATGATAACAGATTAGAGGGTCCTCGGTGGATGTGGAGAGAGACTGGAGACACTGGAATCGTTCCCCTCGGAGCTTGGGAGATTGAATCGAGGTGTTCAGAATGAGGAAGGGGGCTGTTGGATGGAGTCAGTGTGAGGGAGAAACTGTTCCCAGCAGCAGGAGGGTCAGTCACCAGAGGGACACGGATTGAAGAGAATCAGGAACAGAACCTGAGGGAAGGGGAGATGAGAATATTTTAATCTTTTCAAGGTCTTTCTACTCACTGTCCATTAACTTGTGGAAGACGAGATCAGAATTTGAAAGGGGACATTCAGGAAATTGCTGTCGGTGTGAGGGAGAGGGATTAACATCAGTAGGGACACGCTCAGTAACACAGGGCACTGAGGGGGAGAGGGGTTACTGAGTGACAGTGTGAGGGAGAGGGATTAACA